GTTAACGAATAGGACAAATCAATCTTTTTCATCTTATCCCTTTTCTATTAGTATTGGGTCGTTTCGACTACGCAGCCACTAGATTCTGCCACGCAACTCTGGTGAAAGAAGATGACAAACAATTTTTTATTCTTTACTTTGAAGTTAGGTATTGAATCTTACAGTAAATGCATGAAAATGTGAATCAATAGCAGTAAATAACGGCGTAAAATGGAGGAGAATGACAATAACGACAATATGTAAGAGTATGTAAAATAATACGTTAGAAATTAAAACTTAACAGGCAACGAGGTGGAAGCGTTGCAGTATTACAATGTATTTCCAAATCCACTCCTTTTTTCCTTATCTTTTAAGTTCACTGGTCGCTATCTCCTTGACCCAAGACTTCAGTTTTGTCGACAAGATCCTCACTGATGTTCTTCCAGTCCTTTAGATGAGAATTATATATCAATACGTCAGACTTACAGCAGCAATAAGATTTTGCGCTTCAGTCATTAAAGACTACTCGCCTTTTTTTGATTTTTAGCGGTACATATCAAATAACTGTGTTCACTTGAAAAAATGTAAAATAATTAAACTTTGCCACCTGCACAATTACTTTACTTGAAATAAAATAAGTGGTATTTTCAATTGCATAAAAGAATTGCCACTGAACAAACTTTTCAGTAATGTCGGAATTTGTTGAAATTTTGTCAAACATATACTTCAAATGTCTGTTGGTGAAAGCACTGTTTCACTTCCTATAACAAAAATGGTCACTAAACTCTTGCTTGGAATATATACGGTATACTTTATGACGATTTGATTTCCTCGAAGCTCAAAATCATTTGGTACAAAATATGCTATTCAAAATAAAATAAATCAATAATGTGCCACAGTTTTGCGATTGTCTTACTGCAGTAGTAGATAAATTAACAATTTGATCTGAATAAAATTATACATACAGTAAAGATACACCTGAGATTGTTGAGGGTATCTTTTAAGAATCATTTTTTTTTTGCTTTAGTTCAAGGAATTTTACTCTAAAGTTTTGAATTGAAATGACTCTGCTTGAAGCTTGTTGGTTTGAGTTTATTTTTGAAAAAGTATTTGTTTGGTTTATTTTCTAGTCTTAATTCAATTTTTTTCCGCTGACTAATAAAAATCGCTTATTTCTAGCTTCATGTTTGATTTGTTTACTGTTCTTTATTTTGGGCTATTAAATGTTCAATTTTTCGTTGGAGAAACAATAAACACAAAGTGTGAATTTAATAAATAGGCACTGTAGTTAGATATTACTTCTGATGAATATCAAAAGTAAATTCATCTTAAATTAAGTTGCTTCAGTAGGAGTAAAAGCTTTGCTGAAAATGCTTTCCCTAGCCAAACTAAAGCTACCGTATTTTTCTTATTAACATGACATGACCTTTGGTCAAAGGAATGTATTGTAAACCATTTACGGTATTCGTTTCCTCTCCTCTGTGTAACTTTCGGGCACAAAAACCTACTGTGTGCAACTTACTGTATCCAGATCATATTACCCCTTAACCCTTGCAAAAAAAATCAGTTGACTTAATATTAGTGACCTGATAGATCGACGTAGACATATGTTAAGGCTAGAAAATTTGCTACACGTGTCAAAAAGCAAGATTCTAAATCTTTTTAGCTCTAAATTCCTTCTTTCAACTGTTTTTCTAAGCGCTATTTTGACTTTCCAATAAGTCTTTCATATTACTTTTCTTACAAGAGTGCATATTCTGTCATAGATCTTTGTTTTATACCTTTATTAGCATGATATACAAAAACACCTTCGTCTAATATCAAGTTATGTTGAAGTTGCACAATTGCCCTATCAGCTGCCCTAAACTGTGTAGCGTTCGTAAATTTTGGTTGTCTCCTTGACGTTACAAACCTTCCAAAAAAAGTCTAAAGACATGATGTCGAAATATCAGGCGTATTTTAAAGATGTATGTTAAGCGTAACGAGACGAAGGAAATTGCATACCCAATGTTTCAAGACTTGGATGGATTAATCAATACAAGCTGGAATAACTTAATCTAGTTGCTTCAAACGAGGTACATTTTTTATCTTTGAATGTTGATGTTGGTAGCACTTGTGATAAGGCATACGGTATTGCTTTATATCTCGCTGAGCAGTCGATATTTGTATAAACAACGAGTTAAAAAACAGAGTGCTAGTACTGCCAATGCTTTGCCAATAACACTTCACAACCCTTATGAATCAAAATTTTTATGTAAAACAGCTGGACGCCAAGCAAGAATGTAATATTTTATTTTGTGGTAATAAAACAAGTTTTGCTCAAACAGATTTTAAGTATCTTAAGCAGTACCAATCTGTTGCACAATGCAATTTGTATTGCAAATAATATGTGACCAGACTGAACATCAGTTAATTCTGGTTGAAGAACCAGCAAATAACAATACAAAAGTATAATGGTGCCAGGGTAAACTAGACTTACTTACCATTCCTTGACATTTACCAGTTTTTTTAAGGTTTGTAATATACAGTAAAGAATAAGAGAAAACAGCGAAAATTTTTTTGACAAAAGGCAAGGTCAAGATTACAAATTCATTATGTTTAGCATACTATACCCCATGTTGAAAAATCTAAAGAAAAAAATTTGAACAGATTTAGTCTTTTCACGTAAGCAAAATGTTCAACACAACGGTATCGTCTTCAAAAAATCTGGGTCTGTGGCAATAATTTTGGTTACATAAAATGCATGCAGTGTATAAACTATTGTCAAAACTTCGTCGCTATCAATATTCTGAAAAGACCTCAAAATTACTTTCATCAATGTGAAAATACTTTAGTAGCAGTAATGCTTTATGCTGAATTTAAACAGAAGAAGTTTTTGGCTCAAAGTTATTACTGTAATCGTTAAATTTGGTTTTTTCTGGAAGGGAGGGAAGAAAAAAATTATTACCTTAGTCACTATTTCATTTTCTGGGCCGTTTCTTTCGTCTCGAAACTGCAACTGCAAGCGAATTTTACCGTCGTCTGATGAGGAATACAAATCCAAAAAACGATATTGCCAGCTGTATCGCTGCAAATTGAGAACGCCTTTTTTCATCGCTTTTTTTTAAAAATACTTTTTATAACTTATAAAAATTATATTATCTATTTAGTCGATCGTCTATTGTTTCTACCAGCTTTTCTGCCCATTTTATATTTGTAAAACACTTATGGAAATTACCTCTTTGCCTCTTTAAGTCTATCCCATTACTCAGAGAGAGTTCAGTTTTTTTAACTTTAATAGTATATTGATGCTTTAGTAAAAAATTCAACAGAAAATTAAATGCACTTGGTTCGCTGCAAATGCACACCAAAAAACCGTTAAAAGCAATTGTTACTGGAAAGAGAACGATAAACTTAGAGCTATTTATATTTGATCTTTGAAATGATGTGTTGCTAAATTATATAATAACACAAAATTGAAGAAGTGGCGAAATTTTGAAGAAAAACAGCTAACTTTTGTAGGAATGTCATAAAGACTAATCCCCTGCTTGATATCAACTACAAGACCACATGGACGTCCCTCATAACTGCAAGCGAAGGTTCGAGTCTGCAATATGTTTAGCATTAGCAAAATTTTTTGCTACAATAGGTTTATTGCTCTAAAAAAATTTAAATATTAAATGCTTTTTTTCCGCATTTTAGTTTAATTAGTTATTTTAACCTGGATATTAGTAATTGTAGCGTGAAGACACCGATTATAAGCATGTTCAAATTGAACAAACTGTTGCTGAGTTTCTGTGCATAAATAATGTTTAGCACCCTGAACACAAGTTTCTATCCAGAAGCAATTGGTTCTTTTATCCAGACCTGGTTTATCCTTCTCCAATGTTCGAAATGCTGTATCGTAAACTTTGTACAATGATATACAACTGTTCAGATCTTCTGAGTTCAGCTGAAAGTCAAACGCTGTTGTTGCTGACAAAATAACTTTTTCAAGCATGGAGTGCAACAGTTAACCGTATTTAAGCTTGTTCTTTATAACAAGCAATAGACTAGCTAGGATATATCAGTAAAGACAAGAAAAGACTTGAAACTGTAATTATTATACATTATTAACGACAACTCAAAATTAAGACCTAAAAATTAAAAAAACATCCTGAGTTATTTTAATTGTTGCAGAATATAATTAGCAGTATAATAAAAGTTGTAAATGTCAAAATAGATAATTTTTTAAATTTGTATTGTGTCTTTTTAGATAAAAATTTGTTTAATTTTATATTAATCTTGGTTAATTTTTTGGCTATCTGTTTATCTGTTTCTATCAATGATCATTTAAATCAATTAATAATGTAATTTATAGTTTCACTGAAACTAACTGGTGGTGATTCAAATATGCAAAGCTGTCCGCCTTTCAGAATGATAAATCTTGGTTCCCAACGTTGTTTTGGGTCCTCAAAATGTTCTTCCGGTAGTCTCTCGCTCAACCAACCAATATAAGTTATCTAAAACAAAAAAAAAAGAAAAAAAAAGAAAGATAAAAAGAAATTTTTAGGTTTCTTAGTACATATCACTTTTAATAAGTTACTAAAGTTTTCAATAAGATAGCTTTAACTAGGTTGACCTTAATTCATATAACCTCTGTCACTAGGCCATAAAAAAGTAATAAGACTATTTTTTGCAGCGACTAGTCAACTTAAAAATAATAGTTTTAAAATAAGGGCTACCAATTACGAGGTCTTATCTTTGGTTGTATGTAACTGTCTTTTTAAAAGCAAATTCAAAATTTGAAATTTGGTGTAAAATCATTTTCTGAATGTTAGCTGTCCATCAGATTAGATTAATGCTGTAAAACTTTAATCAAACATTGTCTTTTTTATAAGAGGCACATAAAGTTACTCTTCTCACTTAGCCTCGTTTTACACATTGTGTACCGTCTCAGTTTACATAAACGTGATAACGATACACAAAAACTGAAAATTGGTTCTAGCAAACTTAACAGGTTGAAGATATCCCTACATCATTAAACAACTGCAAGAGCATGTTGCTAAAACAAGTGTTAGGAAAGAAAAGAACAGATTTTTGTATTAGATTAGAAAATCAAAAAAATTTAGACATATCAATTTTAAAGCTACTGACCAAAGTATGATAAATTTGTTAACTTGAAGTTAAGTGTTTTTTTAGATTTCCAAAAATTTCTCAACCTTTTATCTACTAAACATTACTAAAAAAAAAAAAAAAAA